AATCTTGGGGTTTTTTCTTTTCTTTTTTTTTTTTCGGCTTCTTTTTCCATAATTTTATTGAGAAACAAATAGCAATGAGACAGTTTCGAATCTGACTAGTAGCATAGTTTCAATAATTAATGCATTGCATATTGTTGTCTTAGTGGTTATTCATTATACAAGATGCAAACATGATATCCTGTTTACAAACACTATTAGAAAAAATTTTTCTATTCATTGAATTAAGAGAAAGTAGCTACATATCTATCCTAACTATTTTAATATACAGATACAAAATGGTCCTTCATTTGTATCCCCTTTTTTGTTTAGTTTTGTCATTTAAATATTATAAGTGTGTGAATTCAGCAAAATATTCCAAAATAGTCCAGTAGTCCAGAATAGTAGTGGGTTTCCCGTAAGACTGGCAATGTCAGAAGTTGTTGACTTGAACCTTTTACAGCTCAGCATATTAATATGGCTTTACTTTTTATACTTCATTTTTATACTTTCTGCTGGATGGTTAAGACCAAGATAAAGCAAGACCTAAATAACAAGAAATGTAACTTTTGTATCTGATAAGGTCAGTCAAATCCCCTCAATAAGAGAATCTCTGAAAAAAATCAGAATCAGTATAACTTGAGAAAAGGGACACTAAAAGCCTTACCAGAATTCTTCTAGGAGATTCCTTGGCCTAAGGGATCTTATAGTCTAGTTAAGAAGATGAATATGTATAGATGCACCAGTTAGTACAGTGTAGTACTAACTATAGTATAGTACAAACTATAGTATAATTTGTACCTTGCCAACCAACTCCAAATGACTTGCATGGAGCAGGAAGAACCTGAACTGAAGTTTTTGGTGCCTAAAGTATTTCTATTTTGAATATTTCCAAAACTTGCCTACTTTTCATGAATGTATCTTAAAGAACTACTTGAGCTCAGCATTTTATTCAGAGAATTCTGGGAAATAGACAAAAGACTAGCTACAGAATGGATTAGTTGTTATCAGACAGGATTTTCACAATTTTGTTGCAGGTCAAGCTTCTAATTCCCACTTGGTGCTCCTCAGTTTCCTCCCTACCAGCTTCCTCTTCAGCCTTCCTGAAGCAGTATGAACTGTGCAAGGGTCCTAGAATCCCGCTGAGGATGTCACACATTTCTACACACACTACAATCAGGAAAAACTGTACACTTTAAGAACCAATAATTCCAAAATATAAAATGAAAAAATGTATACTCAAACCATCTAAATGGTTGTACAAATATAACAGTCTTGAATTAGAAAAAAGAAAAATCTATAGTAAGCATGTGACTCAAACTGTCTCTATCAGGTTTTTCTGCTCAAGACTCAATAATTTAGTCTCTCCTTGTGCTTGGAATGAAGGGATATGTAAACATTCAAGAGCTGCTGAGCAGTTATATTTAACCTTAAAAAATAACAGAGAAAAACAAACACACACACAAAAAATGTTCTCTGAGGCTAGGGATATAGTTCAGTGGTACAGTGCTTGCCTGGCAAGTGTAAGGTCTCGAGCTCAATCCCTGGCACCAAAAAAAGAAAAAAAAATTCTCCAAAAAAAAAAATCAATAAACTAAAGAAAAGCAAAAACCTCAGATGGAATGTCCGAGGTTTTCTAGTCCCTGGTCCCAGGCCCTAATAAGGTCTGTCTGTACTTGGTTTCCAAAGGTCTTCCAACAAATTCCTTTCTTCCTTCCTTCCTTTTCTTTTGCTAAAAAGTAGTTCAAGTTCGTTTCTGTTATTTGCAACAGACTTAAGCGAGGTAATAACCAGTATCGCCCCTGAAGTCATTGTGGTCTACATTTTCCATACTTTTATTTCTCTTTATTTCTGTTTCCCTAAAAGCCACAGATGGAAGTTCAGCATGTCATATACTGAAATATGTAAGTAGGAATCAGGGACTGTGCTATGCCTTTTAAAAGTAAAATACATTATGTCCAGGGAAAATACAGAAGATTCACAGAAAAGCCTTTTTTTTTTTCTTTTTTGTACTCGGAATTGAACTCAGGACTTTGTGCTTGCCAGGCAAGTGTTTGTGCCACTAAGCTCTATCGCTGGACCCACAGTAAAATCTTGATGTAGCTATGTAACCATAAGAAATTTTAACAAATTACCAATTAAATACCTGTTTATCATCCAAAGACAATTTAATTCTAAATAAAGCAGATACACAGATCCGATCTAGTTTTCTGTGAAGACCAAATTATCTCAATAGAGGGCATTTTATCTAGACTTTTTCCAGATAACTAGTCACAGCATTTCTACCCACAGGAAGGCTTGAGTAACCTTTGCTGGCATCCCTAACCTAGGCCAAAATACCAAAACTGATTATCAGTCAGTGGTGTAGGGGCTTGAGTTTCACCACCCACAAAGAACATCCATCCACCCTATGACATTATCAGCAATTTCTGCTTCTAAATGAAGGAAAGAAAGTTACAAAAGCTTAATGCTTTTCTATAGAACTATGTACTTAATATTAAGGTATTTACCAGGCATTAAGAGAATCCTGAAGCAGATCTGGGCTCCTTGGAGCTGTATCCACACCCAGGAGGCCTGACAACAGGCAGACCAGTTTAACACGTGTAGCAAGTCAGAGTCTGACAATCAGAAGTTTGAACCAGATACAGTGGGTGGCTCTTCAGGGTTAAACAAAAATGTCCTGCAGTTAGACTAGACATGGAAACTATATCTACCTTCTCCATTTTAAAGAGAAGGAAGCTAAATATTTGAACCAAATCAACCAATCCCCTAACTATAACTTATACAACTGAGGATAAAATCAAAGAGATTATAATCAAATTATGATATACCCAAAAACCACCATTTCCTAAAGCTGCTGTTAAATGATTTAAAATCTACCTTTGATTGATGAATAATAAATATATTAGAAAACTGCTAAATCTCATTTCTGGGATAGCACAGTATTTGGACATTCCAAATTCTAGACTTGACTAAAACACAACTTAAAACTTTCTGACTTAAGGGGCCGGGGAGATGGCTCAGTAGAATAAGCGCTTCCCTGGGAAGCGCAAGGGCCTGAGTTCAATCCCTGGTTCTGAAAAAAACCAAAACTTTCTGACTTAATAGGTTAGTATCTTAGTTAAAAATCCTGGAATAAAAAACATTTAAAATTTAAAAACAGTGTGTTGATTGAAAATCTAAATGACGTATGCTGCAACACTGGCAGACAGGTTTAGGCACTGTGACAAAAATCTAAATGGCAAAGAGCAACTTATTTTAATAAAAAAAATTCCAGACATGCACTAGAACACCAAAAAAAGTCACCAAAAATTAAACTGATATACCAGCTAGGACCAAAATTAAAAGAATATAAGTTTAAATGTTCCAAATGTAAACTTGGTGTTCAAAAATCATTGGCCAGAGTCCATAGTGCAGTCAATTTTGGTCTTCAGAGGCTGTTTTACCACAAGTGTTAGGTAAGTCAACACATCACTGACATGGAAAAAAAATTCATACATATATTCCTTGAAGTACAAGCCACTCTTTATTACACAGCACAGTAGGTAGATTTTAGGAGTCATTGGAAAAAAATAAAAAAGTGAACTTAGAACCTGTTGTGTTTTCCAAAAGGTGTTATTAAAGCTACTCATAAAAGATTAATCTATAAAAAAGCAGGTCCTCTTTAAAAAATAAATAGCATTATTTGGAAACAAATATACAATTGATTTTATTAAGTTAGTATTTATAAACATTTAATACAGTGAAATGTCATAAGTATCAGCCATTAATTGTAACTAACAATTAAACTGATTCTACAATATCTTAAAAATTGTATAGATAAAATTATCTGAAACTCTATCTTGATACCTTTGCTGCAAACGAAAATATGAAGAAAAACCAAAGTGCTAAATATAACCTAGGCTTAGAAAAGCAAGCTTTCAACTAACTTATGTATCCTACTTACCCAAATCTTGTTTTGACAGTTTAGTCTACTGATGACAAAAACAAGAGAAAACTAAAATCTAAGAATATCAGCTCTCAGGAATTATAATTTTTTTTTCTTCCATTCCAGGCAAAATAAAGAACCAGGAGGATAACAGCCATAAATGTTGTCACAATCATTAATTCATCACCACAAATGTAAAGTCATGCAATTTCACATTTACTTCAACTCCTACATTTGTACTTTGAATTAATTGAGTTTCTATAACATCCATATTCTTAAAAACTCTCTTCCCTACTACTTGGCACGATTCAAAGAAAATAATCATTTAAAACTTTACTGTCAAGACTCAGAACTACCACCCTTGATGGTTTATAGCCTTAAAACTAATAACCCAGGAACAGCACTTTTCATTCATAGTTTGACTTGAATTAGTGCAATGTAAAACTTTAGAAACGGACTTGGTTTTATTGATTTTGTTTTCCGTTTAAAAACAAAAGTGGTACCTGGCAAAGCCGGGGCTCTGTTCGATTTGGCCTACGCCCGCCCGCC